AAGGTATATGTTGTACTATTGGGGGTATCCATTATCCACATACAGAAGGTATATGTTGTACTATTGGGGGTATCCATTATCCACATACAGAAGGTATATGTTGTACTATTGGGGGTATCCATTATCCACATACTCTACATGAAAGAGATGTTACTGCTGCGTTCTCTCGTTATTGTGAACAGCCCCCCATCCTGTTTAGGCCATGGGCAGGTTTTTGCTTCATAATAAAAGAAAAAAATTGATCTTTATAATATTTATGTAACTTCAATGTCTTTTTTTAATCATTTAGAAGAGGACACAAGAGCTGCTCCATACGACAATGCCGACCAACCAAGTGCCAAAGTTTCTGACTACTTAAATTCTGTAAGTTTGTGAAGTACATTATCAGCTACCACATAATATATTGGTTAGATGATGATATACATTTAAAAAGGCACATTTTTAATATGAAAGTAAAAGAACATTTGGTGTTATATACTGTGTTGTTAGTCAGAATTAGTACGCTCAGTGTGATGACAAAAGTTTGAATTAAAAGAAAGCATTAATTTTAAAATCTTTGCAGTATATATTGAGGGTGAATTCATCAGTATTCTAACACTTAGTTTAGTCAAAGACAACAGTCACATTCTTCTCTGCAATTACTTGAAACTAATTAGAGAATAAACTCATATATATATATATATATATATATATATATATATATATATATATATATATATATATATATATATATATATATATTAAATTTCTAGATAAGAGAGCAGCTGAAGAAGCCTAATACCATACTGCACCGAGAGGTGTCCAACATGAGCCTAGAGAGCTTAGACTTTGAGGATGTTACGGTCTCGACACAATCACGAAGAATTCATGAGTTTTTCCTTTTGATGGCAATCTGTAACACGGTGGTGGTATCATCACATGCTCATGAGGACAAGGTGAGGAAGTCATTGATTGTATTTGACTATGATGTAGTCAGTGTTGAGTGTAATATTAACACAGTGGTGGTATCATCACATGCTCATGAGGACAAGGTGAGGATGTAATTGACTGTATTTGACTATGATGTAGTCAGTGTTGAGTGTAATATTAACACAGTGGTGGTATCATCGAATGCTTATGAGGACAAGGTGAGGACGTCATTGACTGTATTTGCCAAAAATGTAAAATATATAAAATGCAGTTTTTGTAGCTAAAATGGCCTTACAAGTTCCAGTATAATTCCATTTATTTTATGAAAATTACTTGGAATTTATTTGTATTTTTTTTTAGAATTTTGTCAATATTTTCCATCACTTTTTCTTCTCATTTCAGATGGATGAGTCAGGGTTGATCACAGATACATTTGCTGACAGTCAGATGAACAGAAAGAGAACAGTTGATAGGTACACACGTTTAGAGGAGCCTACACTGAGTACAATCACCCCTGGACAATCTCAACCTACTCAACTCACCTCACATGACATGAGTGACATAGACAATGAAGGCTCTGAAAGCGGTGCCAGTATGCTGTCTGAGAACACACTCAAGACCAGATATGAAGCAGAAAGTCCAGATGAACTGGCCTTGGTGAAGGCAGCTTGTACTTACGGCTGTCGTCTGCTGAATAGAACTTATGACAGGGCTCTCATTTGGTTGCCAGGTGGGGGGATTTTCAGTTATTGTTTCATTTCTGTAACATAGTTTGATAGCAGATTCTCTTCACAGCCTTAAACATTTTTTTCAAAATAGAAATTATTGCAAAGAATACTAGATGACCTGAGTGTTAAAATTGTTTGGAGGAATATAACTTGACATCAGTTATGTGTTGAGCTTCTACAGTAGTTAAGATGGCAATTGAGATGTGTTTTCAACTAAATGTAAAGTTGACTAATGTACTGTAGCATATTGGGAATTATTGTACCACAGCAAGATATTGGAAGCTCCTGGGCTGTCTGAATATTACCAGTGATTACATTAACTCTTTGCACAGGTGAAGGTGAAGTGGAGTTTGAAATTCTCCATGTTTTGCCGTTTGACACAGTAAGGAAGAGGATGTCAGTGATAGTAAAACACCCTATCTCCCGCGAGGTGGTGCTCTACTGTAAAGGTGCTGATAATACAGTCCTAGAAAACCTGGATACCAGCAGAAATGGTGATGATATGGCTCATGTTTTCATAACTATTTTCATATGGAAATGGTGTCTCCTTTAAATGAAATAAATAACATGTATGACAAATTTGATATGAATAAAGATATGCCTGAATCATATACGTAAAAGATAAAAAATAAGTTTTATTGTAATATTGGACCAAGTGTGTCGTGTTTGTAGTCATTTATTTAGTTACAGAGATAAAAACTAAATGTTGATCAGGAATAATGTTCAAATGAAACATGTAAAAAGGACAAGAGTTAAGTTATACTGAGTTGTAAAAATGTGTCCATGTGTTTGACTCTGGACCAGTATTTTTTTTTTTTTTTTAATTTTATAGTTATTAGGGGTGGGGGCTTGGAGTAACATATAAAAACTAGATCAGTTTTTTTCCATTGTAGATGATGTCATCTATAGCCAGTTTGTGAACAACTCCAAGAACTACCTGACCCAGTATGCCAAGCAGGGGCTGCGGACATTAGTGATGGCCAAGAGAGTGCTGAGTCACGCGGAGTACCACGCCTGGCTGGTCAAATACAGGGAGGCGGAATGCGCCATGGCACACAGGGAGAAAAAACTGATGCAGCTGGCGTTTGAGATTGAAGTTAAATTAGAGCTCTTAGGTACAGTGAGAATTATTATTTTGTACAACAATTATTTATTAGCTGGTAGATAATTTGGAAATTGTCAGTGCTTTATCTTTGGTTAAGAAAAGCATGTTGAAATTTAAACAATAATAAAAGTTTATCAAAACAATTTCTTTATATTTGCAGAAGCCAAAATAGGATTAAGTTTATTGGCTTCCACCGCACTATCAGTGTAGTACTAAAGAAGATATCATTAAGTGTATTGAACAATTCAACCCCTCCCAGTGCATATTTTGCTTTGTCAGATAAAATTGATTTTATTGTTTCCCTGTAGGTGCCACTGGTGTAGTTACATTTAATTTGATTGTCTTCCTGTAGGTGCCACTGGTGTAGAAGATCGTCTGCAAGAAGGCGTTCCTGAGACAATAGAACATCTGCAGCAGGCTGGGATTAAACTATGGGTACTCACAGGAGACAAAATGGTGAGATTTCTGTGGAGAATGTGTTTCCTTTTTTTTTCTTTATTTTGTGTTTTGAAACTCTATAAATATTTCTGTAGGAATTGATGACGTTTGTGACTTTTTTGTAGAAAAAAATCAGTGAACTTATAATTGATAAAACAGACTTATTCTGTACTCAAAGATGAAATAACATGATCAAACACAATGTTTGAGTCCACTCTCCATGGATCTTGGTCACATGACCAAGGCCTGTAGATGTTTTAACATACTATATAGAGATCATTTAAAAATGCTTTGTTTGTGTGTGAAATAATCATAGAATTTTTTTTTCAGGAAACAGCCTTAAACATTGCCTTTTCTTGTAAGCTTATTTCATTTGACCAGCAACTCATTACAATCAATGCAAAATCCCAGGTGAGTGGTTTTAAATAAATTTAGTGTTATTTGGTATTATTGTGAAAAACCCCTATGTTTTATGGTACCATCACATTTTGTCCCTGTAAACAGTAAACAATTATATTGATCGAGTCTGTTTTTAAAATATTTAAATCCAAAATGTTAGATGTTGAAACAAACAATATTGGTGTATTGCATTTTCTGTTTTCATACAACTAAAGATATCTGCATAAGTGACTGAGATGTGTTTTAATAGTTAACATTTCCAAATATATATTTCCAGGATGTTGTTGAAAGTCTCATCAAAACATTACTCAAAGATTTGACGAGTCATGGTCCTTTTCAAGATGGCTGTTCCTCAACTCATGGTGCCACATCAGAAACACACAAAACAAAAGCCAAGTCCAAACATAAACCTTCAGCAGATGTAGCCCTGGTGATAGATGGAAAGTCTCTCAGTTATGCTATGCACAAGAGTATAGTGAAAGAGTTTCTGAAACTCTCTAGTCTATGTAGCTCTGTACTCATATGTAGGGCTACTCCAGGGCAAAAGGTACATGTGATGATTTCAGTTTTATCTTGTCTTCATCAGTTACTGTTTCTTTAGACATTTTTTTTTCAAAATAATGCTTTTAAGTTTGAAGTATTCATGCTTTTGCACAGAGATTATTAAAATTAAAAGGCATTGATTGAGGTTTTTATGACATGAAAGTGACTTTTATCATTTTAGGCCCAAGTGGTGAGAGTTGTAAGGGATCAGTTGAACATGTTGACACTTGCCATAGGTGGGTACTGCACCATAGAACACCACAACTCTACTCTTATAATTACTTTAAATTACTATTGGATCCAACTGTTTGTGTTTAAAGTGATATTCATAAAACATGTTGCTTCTCAAATATTGATTTGACTTAATTAATTGGTATCAATTTAGGATCAAATTCAATCCCCTCTTGGTCCTCCTGTCACTTCATTCATGAAGTCTTTTACTGGGACCCGCTTCCTATGATGGGCTTATCATAGTGATGTCCCCAGGGCCCTGTGTCACAACATGTCAAGTCAGTTTTAGGGCTATTTTTGTGTACAATTAAGCCCATTAACCAACAGTTTCAACTTTATTTTGAATAGAAAGTACCAACATTCTGTAGCTACCCGCTGAAAGAAAGCAAGTAATAGTATATATAACTTTACAGAAAATACCTACTTGAACATATCATCTGACAGATTCATTTATAATATATATAGTATGTTATCTGATTTTAGCATGCTAAGTCAATTTTGGGATTGTATTGATATTAAAGGATTGTTCTTTTCTTCCAGGAGATGGCGCCAATGATGTCTCCATGATCCAGACAGCCAATATCGGGATTGGAATCTCAGGACAGGAGGGAAAGCAAGCTGTCATGGCGTCAGACTTCGCCATGGCCAAGTTTCGCTTCCTTGAGCGCCTTCTTCTAGTCCATGGTCACTGGTGCTATGACCGACTTGCCCGGATAACTTTACATATGTTTTATAAAAGCACTGTAAGTTAATAAGCTGGTAAAATTTGTCAAAATGATTAGAAAATAATTCTCGGAAATTTCACTTTGCAGTACCTCAGTTAACTTGACTAATGTAGGTTAATGAAATTACTGTTTCCATTTAAATTAAATATTTTCCCATTAATTTTCTTATCAGATTTAAGTAGAACCTTTCTCTTTTTATTTCATTATCAAATTAAAATGTCTTCATTACAGGTGCTGATCTTCTTATTGTTCTGGTACCAGATGTTCAATGGATTCTCAGGGTCTGTCTTGATAGATCAGTATGTCTTCATTACAGGTGCTGATCTTCTTATTGTTCTGGTACCAGATGTTCAATGGATTCTCAGGGTCTGTCTTGATAGATCAGTACGTACTGATGCTTTTCAATGTGGCTTTCACTGCACCACCGCCATTTGTCATTGGAATATTTGACAGGGACCTGCCGGCTGCCACTCTGCTAGCCAAGCCCAGGTTGTATAAACAAGGACCTCGTGGTCAAGTAAGTTGCTGTCTTCTTCAAAATATATCCTGTTTCATCTAACTGATTGTGGGATGTTGCATTTAGTAAGTCCATTAATAAAAATTATATGACATAGATTATTTATTTAATCCAGCACAATTTTTAAGCGAAATTATTTTAATTTGATTTGACTTTTACTTTCAGATGTACAAGCCTTATTCCTTCTTTATTCAAATATCTGATGCAGTCTACCAGAGTCTGGCCATGTTTTTTGTGCCTTACATGGTAAGTTGGCTGATGACTTTGAAGTTTAAAATCCCAAGCTTCAAATCCAGTAAAAACCTTATTTATTTATAATTCTACATGTTTATTGGGGTGTTTCAATGGTATTTCAAATGTAGTGTTATTGTTATATTTTAGGCCTACCATGGAAGCAGTGTTGGGATCTGGGAGTTTGGCTCCACTGTTGCCACCGCTTCTGTGATCATTATTGTCTTCTGTATGGGCATAGAGACCAAGTCATGGGTACGTAGACTAGAACATCATTATNANAAGTTTTCCCCCCAATGTGTTAAGTTTTACTTATATACTAATCTTTGTTTAATTTGCTTTATTTGATATTGTATACATACATAAACATCTCTAATCTAGATGCATGTCTCCTTCAGGTTCACAGTGAGAGCTTTCCAGGGGACCTTCTATCCATCAGCCGTTATGAAGGCCAGGATAAAAGAAAACTATGAAAAATCCAACGGTCACGGAGTTTATTTTGCCACATGGTCGTCAGGCAGCAGCAGCTGTGAATTCAAAAAGAATACCAGCAATAGACACGACACAGCCATCAATGACAGCTCCTTGGCTACATCAGAGGAAAGTAAACTGGGCTATTTGGGGGAGGAACCTTTACATGTCTCTGATGATGTTGTCATATGAACACTGTACGCACAGTTCATGGTGGCAAATGTCATGGTGATGTTGGATTGAGAGTGGCCTGCTTCCTTGTGGGGTGCTGCATTTGTAAGGCTGCTCATGTAAGGTGGGGGTCTTTATAAAATAACAGACAACGAGTGTGGTTTAATTCAAACAACGTATGGTGTAGGTTACTGGTCACGTTCATACAATTTACTGAAGACAGCTCAGTAGCAAATGAAGCCAAATAAATTGTGACTTTTGGATAAGCTTAATATTACTCATGCAGAAAAGTGATAGGCTCTTTACATGAAGATAATAATATGCACAGTAGTTGAGAATTGCCTTGGTGATAAATCATGCCTTCTCTTGTCAAGGAATGTTTAGTTTAACTTATTTGTTATATTTATATCTTTTGTTATTTTTATGATGACAAATTGCATTTTTATAAAACAAATATCAGGTGTTTCATTTTATATGCATTTCACATGGTCACAAATATAACTTTATTTTAGGGTAAATACCCCAAAACTATTAATTTAATTTGATTTTTGCAATCAAAAGTAAAACACAGCATTAAAATTTATTTCGGAACCTGTTTTATTACATACAAGGTTAAGGTGAGATTTCTTATGTGAAAGAATATTGAAAATGCCATGTAACAAAGTTCCCTGGTTTTATTTTATGTTTTCATTTCATAGATTATGACCTTTTAGCATATGACCATAGACTTGGACTCTGGTTCTTATGGGTTTTAGGCATTACCTTTGACATGTAAAGGTGCTCTTGAGAGAGACTGCTGTCTCATCCTGACGATGGTGTGCTCCAAGTCTGACAACGGCACCATTCTGTTGGGATCCAGGCCTAACCTCGGTGCCATGCTGGTGGCAAGAATACTGTCAAAAGCATTAAATTAAGCAATTAATAATCAAGGTGCTTTGTCATAATTATACTATGGTATTTTTGATGCTTTATCATGTGTACTTAATATATTATCCAAGTTAAGTGTGGCCGCCATAATGTACAAGTTTTATGTCACTGCCATAAGTAACATATTTATATGCGTCTCATTCTTCATTTTATGTAACAAGCATGTCACAGTGAGTTTAGGTGTATTTTATACCTTGTGCAGTATGCCTTGGTAAAGTTCAAGAGCAGAGTAGAGTAAAGGTGAGAAGTAAGTATCAGCATGCTGCAATGTTCACAGATTTTGGCCACTTGTTATGGCTGTGCTTCACCACATGGTGCTCCCTGTTGTGTGAGAGAATAACAGGAATACTAGTTTTGTCTTCTGTGTCTGGGTGCTCCCTGTTGTGTGAGAGAATAACAGGAACAATGGTTTTGTCTTCTGTGTCTGGGTGCTCCCTGTTGTGTGAGAGAAGAACAGGAATAATGGTTTTGTCTTCTGTGTCTGGGTGTGACTGGTGCCCAGGTATCAGAATTGTGATCATTTTATGTGCCAACACGATCTATCATACATTTGCATGTTCAGACCTTTATAATTAAAAAGCTTTTTTTTTCGGTTTACATCCCGTATGAGATGAGAAAATAATACCGGTGTTATACAGGCAGTAGGTTCCCTGTTCCCCAATTGTGGTCCTCAAAACATTAGTAAGATATACATGTATCTTAGATTAGACAAGAGTTGCATAATGCTAAGAATGCTCAAATAAAATGTTATTATCAAGGCCTGATCTTTGCATCTGCCTTTCAAAGGTTAAGCTACATTGTAGAATTAGACAATATGCCATTTACAAGATTATTCTAGAAAGAACATTATAATGATTATTCTAGAAAGTACATTAGAAAATGGAGTAGGATAAGAAAGGGCTGCATTTCGTTGGGTTTGATATTGTGTAAGGCATTTAACTGTACAACTTCAAATTGATGTAAAAATAAATTAAAACTATAAAACGTTGTTGTTTTCCTGACTTTTTTGTCAGTTTCATTTCAAATATCCATGGTAGATAACATTAGAATGAACGGTACACCACAAACATGAGAAGTAAAAGTTCTACTTGTAACATATCTTTATTACAAAAGGCCTTCTTTGACTGCTCAAAAATTATATACAAATGAGTTACAAATGTTTATAACCACTATTTTTTTAATCCACAAAATTTTACAGGCATAGTAAAAAGGGTTTTCAGGAAATATTTCAATCCACTCGAAGGTTTCAAAACTATGGACCCAATCTTCAAAATTACTTCACACTAATGATGTGACCATGTGCCTCTTTAAAATGTACACCACAAATTAAGTGAATATGTTTTCACTAATCCTACAAAACAGTCACTTATGTAATTTTCTTATAGTCAAACAACACTGCATGAAATCCTCCAAGCACACGACAAACTTTCTCTGATATCAGTTAATGCATATGTTGAACTAAGATGATAGCATAATACTGGAGCAACTGGTTCAAATCAAGGGATATTGAATTTCATTTGTTTGGCCATTTGGCAACCTTTTACCAATAAAAGACTTACCTAAAAAAACGGACCTGAAGAAAACTAAGTGTAAAGTAACTCCCCCCCCCCCCCCCTCCCAAACACACACACACTTTACACACACGAATAATGGACCTTCCACCGACTGATCAGGACTACCTGATGTGTACTGAGGGGTGTCCTTCAGATAGCATTAGATCCTTATTTCTGTGAGGTGTGACAGGTGTGTAACAGAAATACCCCCCCCCCCCCCCCCAAATATCCTGTCTTCAAAGAGTTTGTTCATTAGTATTATTTGTCACAAAGGTATATACCCCTCAGCCGTCAGTGTGATCTCCTGTCCATTTTGTTCTGGAACAACAATTACGGAATCTCCATGTGAGCTGAAATGTTCAAGATGATCAGACGACTCTGACACTATCTCTGGTATTGTCTGCTGTTGTTCAGAAGAACTGTCTGAGTAACAAACTGTTTCAGATTTCCCACCAGGCTGTTCTTGTGAAGAAAGCCTTTGCATCATGGCCTGAGATTCAATGTGCTCCTCTATGTTCTGTTCCTGAACTTCAACCTGAGAGTCAACATCCAGATTTTCCTGTAGTGTACCACGAGTGTCAATACAATGTTGTTGATGAGATCCTGTCTCTCCACTGCCAATACACAACTCAAAGTTCTGTGTGTCTCCCACATTAACATGTCTGCTCTCCATAACCTGACCTCCTTCACTACCTGTGTTATCACATTCTACATGCTGTGTCTTGGTTGTCTCCTCATGTTGTGTGTCACTACTGTAAGGCACTTCAACAGCAATGCTCTCCCCATGGTTCCCAGCGCCCCCTACAGTCCAGTTCCCTGTGCTATGAACCACCTGCTGCACCAGTTCTAATATGCTGATCTCTTGTGCAGTTTGCTGAGACTGGGTGGCTAATTGTGTCCCACTGGTCTCATCCGTCACATTCTGCGTCACCTCTACTGCATTCTCTGTTGCCTCCACCAAATTCTGGGTTTCCTCTGTCACACTCTCCACCCTTCCATTGTTCACATTGATATTAATCTGCTGATGTTGCTGTTGGACTCGATTCACTGCAGTGCCAGCAGGGGACAGCACTAGTCTCTTCCCGCCTGGTAAGTGGACCAAGTATCGACTTGGCTGCCTCTCAACTGGGTTGATATTCAGCATGGCTTCAGCAACTTCCAGCTTGAAACTTGAAGGAGCCAAGTTCCTATTTGTTATCCCTGCTTCAGCCACCTGCTGACTGACTTCTTGGCCAACTTCTATCTGGAAGCTCTGAGGAGTGAAGCCATATTTCTTGGTGTCTTTCCCTTGGGACTGCTGACACACTGGCTTGGACTTGGGCTGGGTTAGTTTTCCTACACCTTGCTGCAATAGTTTCTCTGCATTGGGGTGAGATCCTCTGATATGTTCTACCAGATACTTCTTCCTCCTGAATAACTGATCACACACACTGCACTGGTAGGAATACACCTGAACAACAAATATGGAAAGTTTAATCCTAGCTGTGGGACAGGAGTTTTCAATTACTTTTAAATGCTGATAAGAAGTAGGTATGTCACACATTCAATGATAAGTGTGATATCTGAAATTGTCACTTCTGTTTAATACTACATAACAGCAAAATGAGAAGGAAGAAGGTATTCATAGCCTTTAAAAGTAGTAAGACACTATACCTTGAGATGGACAGTCTCTGTTTAAAAAGAGCCAGTAATAAGACACTATACCTTGAGATGGACAGTCTCTGTGTGGACGTCCAGATTAGCCTTGTCAGTAAACTGGCGTGGGCAGTAGCTACACAGGTAAGGCTTCTCACCTGGAAAGTCAATAAGAGTCATGCACTTAATATATTTAAAATTCCAGATCATAAAGAAATGAGACATATTCCACAAACTCCAGACACCTTAAGATATGTTATTCAAGGGAAAAATGATTCTAGGAGCTTGTTGAAGAAATACCCAATTTATGCAACATATTGGAGGCAGGGAGGAGCAAGGAGGGTGGGGTGGGAGGAGGCAGGCAGCTTTGTCTTGGGGTGAATTTTCAAGCAGAGGGTGGGGGGTGTCTCCAAGTCAACCTTACCCATGTGTGTTCTGGTATGGACATCGAGATGGTATTTCTTGGTGAATTTTTTCATACAAACATGACACTGGAAATCTCTGACTCCTTCATGCACAATCCGTGTGTGCTGCTTCAGGACCTGCTTTGTTTTAAATGTCTGGCTGCAAGAGCTGCAGCTAAACATGCGCACGTTGTGGTGGACGTGCAGGATATGGTTTCTCAGTGCATGTCTGTCATACGTAGCATAGCCACACTGTTTGCAAACGTGATCGTGATGAAGTCTTCCACTATGTTTGGCAGTGATGTGTTTCTTGAGGCTCTTAAAGGGTTTCATACACACTGGACACAGCTCAGTAAGCACCAGGCCTGGGTGGCTGGTCTTTAGATGATCCTTGAAGTCTTTCTTTTTGATTTCTCTCTTACAGTGTGGACACAGAGTGATATGTCTGCTCAACATGTGCATGCGTAAGTTACTCACAGAGACCTTGCACACTTTACAAGGAACTTTCTTTGATGAGATATCAACTGGGAAATCTTTGCTCACAGCTTCATCTTCAAGCTCCAGGCTCTCTGTTGTGTCAGGCTCATCTGATATGACCAGTTTCTTGTTTGCTTTAAGGTCTTTCAAACTATCATACAGGAATTCTTCTTTGACGTTTGGTTTGACACGTCTAGAAGATCTCCTCCATGTAGGGGTTACTGTGTCTACACTAGGTATCCCACTGGTTGTGACTGTGACACTTGTCTTAGTATCCACCCTGTTCTCCTGTACTGCACCTTCTGTTGTCTCTGTCCTAATATTCACTTCATCACTGGCTGGTTGATTGTTCTTTT